GGGTTGCTCTCTGTGGGGTGGGTTGTTGTGGCGCACTTAGATTGCGCCATTGCACTCTTTTCTGGTTAAAAAAAGTGAAACCCCCTCTAAAAAAAAAAAAAAAAAAAAAAATGTTCTCTGCCAGTCTAATTGTGGGTCTAAAGATCCTCCCATGAGGGTCCCACCCTATCCCCTGGGAAAAGGAATGCTGACGTCTTGAAACTTCCATAGAAACAAGTGAAGAGTTTTTCCCTACACAGGCAGCAGATAAGGTTTTATGGAAGATGAAATGAAATTAAGGGGTAGCTAGGTCACAGGGAAGTTTTTAATAGAGTGGAAGGCACTTGCGTGTTTGCAGGAAGAAGCAGCTAGAGCTGAGGAGAAGGTTGACAATAAAATGAGGATCCAGATTGTTACAGTGAACCCCAAGTTTGTCTTCAAAGAATCAGTAGGACAAGCTCTCTTAAATTCTGTTTTAAAGTTTAACTTCCTTGTAATGCCAGTAAACAACCTCCACTGGTTCTAATCAGTAGTTCACATCTATTCCCCGCACCCACCCCCCCACCCTGGCCCCCAGCTCCATCCTGACTCATCCAGTCACCTACTCCAGCCACTGTTCTGATCATCTTCTTTGACCTAGGTCATCCCTGGCTACCTGCTCTGACCCGCCAGTAACATTCCTTCCTGCCAAAACACACACTGCCACTCCAGCTTGGACCCCTGCTCTCTTTAAAACAGTCATTCTGGATTAGTCTAGCTTGTGCAGTCTAACCCTAGCCAACAGGAGAATGACACAGCAGTAGGGATGACCCCTCACAAGTACCCCTTCCCCGCCTTGTCCAAGCATGCGGCCACTACTGCTCCATCCATGAGCCGCACCCTTCTATAGAAGTAAATTGCCTTGCTGAGAGGATTTATCTTCAAGTGCTATTTCTTTTGTGGCATCGAAATTTTACTTATAACAATTCAATGGTTCCAGGCCTCAGAGGACAGGTGATCAAGCTCATGGAGAGGGGTCAGCTTCACAAAGAAGAGTCCTTCTTTGTGAAGGACATTTCCTTTCTTTCTTTCTTTCTTTCTTTTTTTTTAAAGGTGGCGTTTCACCATGTTGGTCAGGCTGGTCTTGAACTCCCAACCTCAGGTGATCCGCCCACCTTGGCCTCCAAAGTGCTTGGATTATAGGCATGAGCCACTACGCCCGGCCTAGTGAAGGACCTTTCCATACCTCTGTGCCCCTTCAAATACACCTGCCATACCTACCACCCACGAGGCTGTAGTCTTACCCTGGGACCTTTCTCACACCAATTTGATCTATAGGAATCAAACTGTAATGTATATCCTAAACTATGAATTATTTAGTCTAGAACAACAGGAAGGGGAGGCTGCATCAGAATACGCCAAGATTAGCTATAGCACTCCCAGCTGTAGTGTCCAGTGAAGTGTGTATTAGTCCATTTTCATACTGCTATGAAGAAATATGTGAGACTGGGTAATTTATTAAGAAAAAGAGGTTTAATGGACTCACAATTCCACATGGCTGGGGAGGCCTCATAATCATGGTGGAAGACAAAGGAGGAGCAAAGGCATGTCTTACATGGTGGCAGGCAAGAGAGCGTGTGCAGGCAAGCTGTCCTTTATAAAACCATCAGATCTCATGAGACTTATTCACTATCACGAGAACAGCACAGGAAAAACCCACCCCATGATTCAATTACTTCCCACTGGGTCCCTCCCACATCACATGGGGATTATGGCAGCTATAATTCAAGATGAGATTTGGGTGAGGACACAGCCAAACCATATTAATCTCCATCAGTGTGGGGTAAACATATGTCTCCCGTGCTCTCTGGTCACTCAGCAGATAAGTGTTGTATCAAATATCCACATGTGTACATGAGGGCGCACACACAGACACACACACATGATCTCCCAAGGACACTATGCTTCTTAAAATGAGTATAGTTACTCCATCATGCTCCACACTCTTAGCCTGCTTTATTATTCTTCATAGCATCAGGGCTGATTCTCAGCCAATATATTCTAGCATGACTATATAAATAGCTACGGTATTGAAATACTGTAATTCCATGGTGGTAAGTAAACAGCTGCTGCCCTTGACCCTAAGTACATCCCCTGCTCTTGCTATCCCAGCATCTCCTAGACTTTCCCAAGATCCAGAAACTGAAAGTATAACAGTAGTGTCAAGAAAACTAAGGTTGACCTGTGTTCTAATTGGGGGTGAAATGGGGGTAAGATGGGGAGTATATGGGAACACAGTCAAAAACTGAAGCTTCTAAACTAACACTTTATTGGGAAGTTCAATGTCAAGAAAGTTAAAGTGAGCAGGAAAGGGAAGTCAGGCAGGAAGGAAGACAGCAGATACAAGAGAGAACATGAGGAAGTGATACCAGGCTGGCTACACATGTTAAATATTTTGGATGTCCCACCCTGCAGAGTACTTATCATTGGCCGAAATTACCTTATATTCTTTTAAATATAAATAACAGATATTGTCTGTTTGCCCACGAGAAAATAAACTACATGAGGACGGGGACTTTGTTTAATGTTGTCTCTCCAGGACCTAGAATATACTGGCACATAATAGGTGATGAATAATATCACTTGAATCAACTCATGTTAAAGATATATATATATGTATTTTTTTTTTTTTCAGACAGAGTCTTGCTGTCACCATGTACCAGGCTGGAGTGCAGTGGCGCAATCTAGGCTCACTGCAACCTCTGCCTCCCAGGTTCAAGCAATTCTCCTGCCTCAGCCTCCTGAGTAGCTGGGACTACAGGCGCATGCCACGACACCCAGCTAATTTTTTTATTTTTTCAGTAGGAACTGGGTTTCACCATGTTGGCCAGGATGGTCTCAACCTCGTGATCTGTCCGCCTTGGACTCCCAAAGTGCTGGGATCACAGGTGTGAGCCACCACGCCCGGCCGAGAAATATTTTTCGAAATAAAACACTTTCCATGTAAATTTCAGGTCATAGTAGATGTAGCACTTTGTTATTTTTGCAGAGTAGTTTCTATTCCTCATTGTTTAATCTTCCAATTCCCTAATCACGCCCAGAGGCCTACTTGCGTATAAGGATTGAGAACTATATGGATAGTTTCATGTTACAGAGTCTTCTACCTTCAGAGCTATCATCTAATGCTCAAGGACCCAGAAAGTCTTTGAAATCCTTGCTTTTCCTGATCTTAGCTGATCAAATAGGTAGCTAATGCATCTGTATGGGAAGAGGGAGAGCTATCCTCTACCCTGAGCATTCTCCCAGGGGCTGAGGACAAAGGGTATAATTTATCCCACTAGGTACATCTTTATAATTTTGTTTTTTGAAAGAAAATTTTCTTTTTTTCACTGAACGTTTTAAGTAGTCAAATAAGGTTTGTTTGTTTGTTTTAGAGACAGTTTCACTCCATTGCCCAGGCTGGAGTGCAGAGGTATAATCTTGCAATATCCCTTCAATGCAGCCTCTGCCTCCCAGGCTCAAGCGATCATGCCTCAGTTTCCCCAGTAGCAGGGACTACAGGCAAGCGCCACCATATCCACCTAGTTTTTTGTATTTTTTGTAGAGACAGGGTTTCACCATTTTGCCCAGGCTAGTCTCAAACTCCTGACCTCAAGTGATCTGGCCACTCCAGCCTCCCAAAGTGCTGGGATTACAGGCGCGAGCTGCTCCGCACAGTCCAAATAAGTTTTTTTTTTTTTCCTTGTGACAGAGTCTTGCTCTGTTGCCCAAGCTGGAGTGCAGTGGTGTGATCTCAGCTCACTGCAGCCTCCGCCTCTGGTTGAAGCAATTCTCCTGCCTCAGCCTTCTGAGTAGCTGGTACTATAGGTACGCACCACCATGCCTGGCTAATTTTTGTATTTTTAGTAGAGTTTCCCCATGTTGGCCAGGCTGGTCTCGAACTCTGGACCTCAGGTGATCCGCCTACCTTGGCCTCCCAAATTACTGGGATTACAGGCGTGAGCCACTGCACCCGGCCAAGTTTTTTATGTATACTTTTTCTTTTTTGAGACGGAGTCTTGCTGTTGTTGCCCAGGCTTGAGTTCAATGGCGTGATCTCGGCTCACCGCGACCTCCACCTACCAGGTTCAAGCAACTTTCCTGCTTCAGTCTCCTAAGTAGCTGAGATTACAGGCATGAGCCACCATGCCCAGCTAATTTTGTATTTTTACTATGGACAGGGGTTTCTCCATGTTGGTCAGGCTGGTCTCAAACGTCCAACCTCAGTTGATCCACCTGCCTCGGCCTCCCAAAGTGTTGGGATTACAGGCATGAGCCACCACGCCCAGCATATGTATACTTTAATGTAGGAAAAGATCTGTGGGAAAAAATTATTACATGCTACAAGTTTAAGTGAGAAATGAATACCAAAAGTAGTAAATTTTATATTACAAACCAACAACTATCATGTATCAACTTTTGATATTTAAATTCAAAGGTAGGAAAATGTTAATTAGGTGAATATATTCATGACTGAGACTATAATCTACTTAATGTTGCCTTTACCTCTCAAACCCAGGAGTAAATTTCACTTCATTAGCCTCATAGCAATCATCTGTAATCATCTGATTACAAACATACTCAAGCTGCAGGCTTTCACTGTGACTCTGTATTTCATATTCTTCCGCATCAAAACATATTTTTTAAAATCGGAGAAAACATGGCTTTGTTGTAATGTGATATTATGACTGCATAGCTAATAATTTCCTAGCAATCATCAGATCCATCTTTATAATGCTTGGCTCATCTTAGGATGTCGTGTTCTCTAGCAAAAAATGTTAACCTAATGCTTAGAAAATTAAATCCAACTCTTTTATTTTATTTTGAGACGGAGTTTTGCGCTTTCACCCAGGCTGAAGTGAAGTGGTGCAATCTCAGCTCACTTAACTTGTGACCCCAGGGTTCCAGTGATTCTCCTGCCTCAGCCTCCCAAGTAGCTGGGATTACAGGCGCATTCCACCATGCCTGGAAAATTTTTGTATTTATTTTAGTAGAGATGGGGGTTTCACTATGTGGGCCAGGCTGGTCTCAATCTCTTGACCTCGTGATTCACCTGCCTTGGCCTCTCAAAGTGCTGGGATTACAGGTGTGAGCCACAGTACCCAGCCTATAGTTTTAATCTATTTCATTGATACTTTCTTAATTCTACTTCCTGGCTAGTATACATTCCTAATCCTAGCATTAATTTTTCTTTTCTTCAAGGATCATTTTCAACAATTAATGGGCTCAGCAAACACATCCTTGTTTGGGCTGTATGCAGTAGCACATGTCTGTAATCCCACTGCTTTGGGAGGCCAAGGGTGGGTAGGGGAATGATTACTTGAGATCAGGAGTTTGAGACCAGCCTGCCCAACATGGTGAAACCCCATCTCTACTAAAAATACAAAATTTAGCTGAGCAAGGTGGCAGGTCCCTGTAATGCTAGCTACTTGGAATCTGAGGTAGGAAAATAGCTTAAACCTGGGAGGCAGAGGTTGCAGGGAGCCGAGATAGTGCCATGGCACTCCAGCCTGGGCAACAAAGGGAGACTCCATCTCAAAAAAAACAACAAAGGTTGGTGGTGGCTCATGCTTATAACCCCAGCACTTTGGGAGGCAGAAGCAGGCAGATCGCCTGAGGTCAGGAGTTCGAGACCAGCCTGACCAATATGATGAAACCCCATGACTACTAAAAATACAAAAGTTAGATGGGCATGGTGGCATGCACCGTAATCCCAGCTACTGGGATGCTGAGACAGGAGCATTGCTTGAACCCAGGAGGCAGAGGTTGTGGTGAGCCAAGATCAGGCCATTGCACTCCAGCCTGGGCAACAAGAGTGAAACTCCATCTCAAAAGCAAACAAATAAACAAACAAAATAAAACAAAAACCTATCCTTTGTTGTCATCCTTCCTGTAATCTCACAAAGTAAGGGGTATAGGTAGAGGAAGGGTTGAAACTTCAAGTAATAATTCCTGAATGCCTACACTGTGCCATCTTATTTTTATTGTTACTTAATTTTCATAAAATCCCTGAACAGGAGATATTGTCACTTGATGAATAATCTGGAGTTTAGAGGAGAATAAAGTAACTTGCTCAGCATCACTTACCTAGATTTGAGTAAAGTCCTTATTAAAGCATCTGCTTTGGGCCTGCAGTGATGGCTCATACCTGTAATCTCAGCATTTTGGGAGGCCCAGGTGGGACGATCACTTGAGGTCAGGAGTTTGAGGCCAACCAGAGCAACATAGTGAGACCTCGTCTCTACTTAAAAAAAAAAAAACATTTTTAGTAAAAAAATGTGTTGTTCTCTATGCAGTAAAGAAAAAAAAAAGAGAAAAAAAAAAAAGTGTTCGCTGGGTGTGGTGGCTCACGCCTGTAATCCTAGCACTTTGGGAGGCCAAGGCAGGCGGATCATGAGGTCAGGAGTTTGAGACCAGGCTGACCAACATGGTGAAAACCCCGTCCCTACTAAAAATACAAAAATTAGCCAGGCGTGGTGGCACATGCCTGTAATCCCAGCTACTCGGGAGGCTAAGGCAGGAGAATCGCTTGAGTCCAGGAGACAGAGGCTACAGTGAGCCAAGACTGCACCACTGCACTCCAGCCTGGGTGACAGAAGAAGACTCTGTCTCAAAAATAAAAAAAAATTTTTTTAATTTAAAAAAGTGTTCATGATACCATTTTTTCTGCCTTTTCCACACTAAAAAAGATTGTAAAAATAAGTAGCCTGAAAAACAGAATTAGAATAAAATAGGTGCAAGGGGAGAGCAGAAAAAAAGAAAGTGTAACTGGTTGTATTCAGCTTAGCAATAACTTTTTCAGCTCTTAATTTATGTACATTTAGAACCAATCTTGTAGCACATGCTCTAAATCAACTACACACGAATTGGCAAATGGGTACTTTAAAATCTTTTTTTTTTTTCTGAGAGTCTTGCTCTGTCTCGCAGGCTGGAGTGCAGTGGTGCAATATCAGCTCACTGCATCCTCTGCTCATTGCAACGTCTGCCTCCTGGGTTCAAGGAATTCTCGTGCCTCAGCCTCCCGAGTGGCTGGGACTACAGGCATGAGCTACCACGCCCAGCTAATTTTTTTATTTTTCATAAAGACGAGGTTTCAACATGTTGGCCAGGCTGATAAACTCCTGACCTCAAAGTGTTGGGATTAAAGGTGTGAGCCACTGCACCAAGCATAAAATCTTACTTAAGAAAGAAGTGAGCTTGTTTCCAAGAATTAGGATCCCAAGCTGCTCCTTTTGGCCCTAACCATACTCTCTGTTTAAAAATAAAGTATTGGGGCCAGGTGGGTGGCTCACACCTATAATCCCAGCTACTTGGGAGGCTGAGGCAAGAGAATTGCTTGAACCCAGGAGGCAGAGATTGCCTTGAGCCAGGATCACACCATTGCACTCCAGCCTGGGCAACAAGAAGCAATCTCTGTCTCAAAAATAAATAAATAAATAAATAAAAGTAACAAAGAATTGGCTGGGCGCAGTGGCTCACACCTGTAATCCCAGCACTTTGGAAGGCCGAGACAGGCGGATCACCTGAGGTTGGCAGTTCGAGACCAGCCAGACCAACATGGAGAAACTGCATGTCTACTAAAAATACAAAATTAGCAGGGCATGATGGGCAGATACCTGTAATCCCAGCTACTTGGGAGGCGGAGGAAGGAGACTCACTTGAACCTGAGAGGTGGAGGTTGCAGTGAGTGGAGATCACGCCATTGCACTCCAGCCTGGGCAACAAGTGTGAAACTCCGTCTTAAAAAAAAAAAAGAAAGATCAAGACCATCCTGGCCAACATGGTAAAACCCCTTCTCTACTGAAAATACAAAAATTAGACGCCTGTAGTTCCAGCTTCTTGGGTGGCTGAGGCAGGAGAATCACTTGAACCTGGGGAGCAGAGGTCGCATAAAGCGGCAAGATTGCACCACTGCATTCCAGCCTGGCGACAGAGTGAGACTCCATCTAAAAAGAAAATAAAAAATAAATAAATAAAGTAGCGGACTGGGTACAATGGCTCATGCCTGTAATCCAGCACTTTGGGAGGCTGAGATGGGCGTATCACGTGAGGTTGGGACCAGCCTGACCAACATGGAAAGACCCCCATCTCTACTAAAAAAACAAAATTAGCCAGGCGTGTTGGTGGCTCATGCCTGTAATCCTAGCTACTCAGGAGGATGAGGCAGGGGAATTGCTTGAACCTGGGAGGCAGAGGTTGCAGTAAGCAGAGATTGCGCTACTGTACTCCAGCCTGGGCAACAAGAGTGAACCTGTCTCAAAAACACAACAAAAACAAAAACAAACCAACCAGAAATAAAGTATCAAGACCATACTTTCAGGGATCATTTCTATAGTTCACTCATTACTAGAGAAGCTGCTCTCAACACGCAGGGGCACAGGAAACCACGAGGACGAAACACAGTACTCCCTTCTGAGCTTGAAGCCAGCTCTTCTGCTTCACTGCACCTGCCATTTGCCATTGATGATCATTCTCTTCCTGAAGGAGAATGAGAGAGAAAGGATGCAGTCTGAGTGGTTCCTGTTTAAAAAATAATAAAAGTATGGTCCTAATTCTTATTTTTTGTTTATTTATTTTTTTTGAGACAGAGTCTCTTTTTTGTTGCCCAGGAAGGAGTGCAATGACACAATCTTGGCTCACTGCAACCTCCGCCTCTGGGCTTCAAGTGATTCTCCTGCCTCAGCCTTTCAAGTAGCTGGAATAACAGGTACCCGCCACCACGCCCAGTGAATTTTTGGTATTTTTAGTAGAGATGGGGGATTCACCATGTTAGCCAGCCTGGCCTCAAACTCCTGACCTCAGGTGATCTGCCCACCGCTGTTTCCTAATGTGCTAGGATTATAGGCATGAGCCACTGCATCCAGCCTCTAATTCTTTTTTTTTTTTTTTTGAGACGGAGTTTCGCTCTTGTTACCCAGGCTGGAGTGCAATGGCGCGATCTCGGCTCACCACAACCTCCGCCTCCTGGGTTCAGGCAATTCTCCTGCCTCAGCCTCCTGAGTAGCTGGGATTACAGGCGCGCGCCACCATGCCCAGCTAATTTTTTGTATTTTTAGTAGAGACGGGGTTTCACCATGTTGACCAGGATGGTCTTGATCTCTTGACCTCGTGATCCACCCGCCTCGGCCTCCCAAAGTGCTGGGATTACAGGCGTGAGCCACCGCGCCCGGCCCCAGCCTCTAATTCTTAAATAGAAGACCCAGATACTATTTGTCAAATAGTGTGGCCTTCTTTTTTTCTCCATTTAGTGTACCTAGTTTACTATCTGTTCACTCTTTTAACTTGAAAGTGCAGGAAAAAAGAAAAAAAAAAAAGAAAAGAAAGTGGCATGAAGAGAACATACAGCTTGAATCAATCAATTCAGCACTTTCAGCAGCTGTGTGAAAAGGTTTTCCAGAGGTGGGTGGGATTTTCGATTAACATAATTATAGGTTTCAGTGCTAGCCCTGACTCTTCATCAACTTTCATCTTTCTAAACTAAAAAGGGTAATAGTAAAGTGCATCTTAAAACTGAAGGATTTACACAGCACCACCTCTTATCTTTAGAAGAGCAGTTTGGCACAGGGACTGGTATAAATCAGCTGGCACCCGTCACAGCATGTTCTCACCACCACCCACCCTCTGGTTTCAGTGGCAGTCTTGTTGACATTTTCAGAAACTATAGCGCTGGTGGCTTCCAGGAAGTACGCCTTACATAGTAGAGGCATGCATGCCTAGGAATGGCCCTTACATGTATTGGGAAATCTTCAAGAGAACCTGGGATTCCAGATTTGGGCAAAGGAATATGGTGCTTAAGATTGGGGCCAGAGACTTCAAAAAGAGAGTAATAAGGCCGGGAGCAGCGGCTCACACCTATAATCCCAACACTTTGGGAGGCCGAGGTGGGCGGATCATGAGGTCAGAAGTTTGAGACCAGCCTGGCCAATATATGAAACCCCACCTCTACTAAAAGATACAAAAATTAGAGTGGCGTGGTGGCGCACACCTGTAGTCCCAGCTACTCAGGAGACTGAGGCAGGTGAATCCCTAGAACCTGGGAGGCAGAGGTTGCAGTGAGCTAAGATCGCACCACTGCACTCCAGCCTGGGCAACAAAGCAAAACTCCGTCTCAAAACAACAACAACAAAAAACAAAACAAAAAGAGAATATTAGGTCAGGGTCTTAAGGACTAGCCAGTGGAATGAGGCAGAAAGTTAGAGAGCCAGGCTGGAATGGAGTGTGAGGGTGAGACAGCCAGGTTGGAATGGTAAGCAAATTATAAATACTGAGTGAATGAAATATTAAATTAATAAAAAGGAAACTTTTTTGCTTCTATTGGAAATTAGCTCTCCTCTATATATTTCTTTTTTTTTTTTTTGAGACGGAGTTTCACTCATGTTACCCAGGCTGGAGTGCAATGGCGCGATCTCGGCTCACCGCAACCTCCGCCTCCTGGGTTCAGGCAATTCTCCTGCCTCAGCCTCCTGAGTAGCTGGGATTACAGGCACGCACCACCATGCCCAGCTAATTTTTTGTATTTTTAGTAGAGACAGGGTTTCACCATGTTGACCAGGATGGTCTCGATCTCTTGACCTCGTGATCCACCCGCCTCGGCCTCCCAAAGTGCTGGGATTATAAGCTTGAGCCACCGCGCCCGGCCCACAAGATCTTTAAACTGCAGTTGTCATGTCCTAAATCGCTGACCTCCAAATATGCTTTTGATCCATACTTCTCAAAATAATTTTACCATTTGCTTCAATACATATATATTTTTATACATACACAGAAAAAATGGCCAGGCTTGGTGGCTCATGCCTGTAATCTCAGCACTTTGGGAGGCCGAGCTGGAAGGATCCACTTGAGGCCAGGAGTTTGAGACCAGACTGTCCAACACAGTGAGACCCCCTCTTCTATTTTTTTTTAAAAAAAGGGCCAGGCGTGGTGGCTGACGCCTGTAATCCCAGCACTTTGGGAGGCTCAGGTGGGCAGATCACCACCTGACCAACATGGAGAAACCCTGTCTCATATTAAAAATACAAAACTGTTTTAATAAAGGCTGAAAATAGACATTATAATAAAGTTTTTAATAATATACAATGTGTATTGCTGCTGATGTTGGTCTCGCTTGACATTTTAAGCATAGCCCTATTTTCCCGTCAAGACAGCAGCCAGTTCTGAACACTTGATTCATGTAAGCAGCTGCTACCCATGCCATCATAGTATACATAAAATTGCTAAATGTAGGATTCAAATACTCTTAAATGGACAATAATATGCAAATCAGGTTGTCTTGCTGTGACAGCAAAAGGTTTAGAAACAAATAATTTTAGTATCCACTTAGTACAGTAATTATGAACATATAGCATAGAGCCAGACACAGTAGTAAATTGTCATAAACACTAACATTGATCGTTTACGAACATACATGAAGTCTTTACACATTTCTTAAACGTTCTTTGCCTTTAGTGCTGCTGATAAACGAAAGGATAAAAAGTCCAACGGAACACATCAAAACCACAATAAATGTCAACGGGTGTTTTTAACAATAAGGAAGAACTCAGAAATAAAAACTACATTTAAAGATACAGGCTCGAACGTCCCGGACTACAAATACCAGAGTTTCTTAGAGCCGAGGCGGAGCTACCCTCAAACTGATAGTTTTTTTTACCCAATGAAAGCCAGACAACTCGTAAACTACATTCAGCCGGCTTGAAGGGCTGGTTTCTTCGCGTGCAAACACTAACGTATTACGTAGACGTTCAAAACACGAGTGGTAGTTTCAGGGCCTGGGTCTAACTACTAAATTATTTCTCCCCGCATCAGTCTCCTAGTCACCTTAATAACTCTCTACTCAACTCTGACTCGGTGGAAACTCGACCGTCTAAATGCTGAAACCGACGGACCGCACTATCAGCGGAATGTATCCAGTCAGTCGGGAAGAAGGCGGAATCTGCCTTATTCTTGCCTTTTATTGGCCACACATCCCACCAATGGGGCCGTGAAACTTCCGCTAACGTAACGTATGGCGTAGTGGTGTGCGCGTTGTACAGACGCTGGGACTATGAAGGGGCAGACGTTCTGCTCTCGTCCAATCGGGAGCTAGCAAGAATTTCCCGGGCTTCTAGGCCCGACGCCTTTCGCGTCGCGTTGTGGCCGGCCTCTCTGCAGCCGACCAATCCTCTTCATGTTCTTGTGCGTATTATCCAATCAGAGAGGTTGAGGTGGGTTTCCGGTCGACCACTCTAAGCCGCCGCTCAGTCTGCGTTTTCTTCGGTACGGTTTGGGGGCTGGCTGCTAAGGTACCTTTTGCTGGACTGGACTGGGCTGGGCTGGGCGGGATACCCAGCATGGGCAGCCCTCTCGACGAGCGGTAACGCTGTGGTTGAGTTTAGAAAGCTGGAGTCTCTGGACATGTGTCGCGGGAGCGCGGAGGGAATTGGGAGGTTCTGGTTGGAGTGAGCACGTGTTGAGGGTCTCGCTCTGCGGTCGGAGACCCCAGGTCAAACCTGTGCTGGCCCTGGCCGAAGAGCCTTCTGCCGGTCAGGCTTCTGTTGCCGGCGGCGTCCACAGCACTTCATCTGGGGCGTTTTTCAGTGTAACCCAGACGCCCTTGCTTATTTTCAGGGAAGGACCTGTTTCCTCCTACTGTCCCCTCCCTGCGGATACTTTCCCCACCACCTTCTGGATTTAGTATAATATTTTGGTAGGCCAGAAAGCAGATTTTCACTTGGGAAGAGACGTCCCGTAGTATGGGATGTGGTTTGATACCAGCTACTGGTCTATTATATCATTTAAACCACATGGTGGTTTAAAGAGGTAGGTACTGTGAGTGTTCTCATTTTCACGGGAAGAAACAGTGTTAGACATTACTCATTGTCGGTCACTGACAAATTGTGGCATTCAGCTTCCATGGACGTAAAATTAAAAGATGGTATAACTTGGAAAATGTTGCTCCTGTTTTCTTTACTAACTGAAAATTACTTAAGTCAATAAAAGCCCCGGCGCAGTGGCTCACGCCTGTAATCCCCGCACTTAGGCCGAGGTGGACAGATCACGAGGTCAGGAGTTTGCGACTAGCCTGGTCAACACGGTGAAACCCCATCTCTAACTCAAAATAGAAAAATTAGCCTGGTGTGGTGGCAGGAGCCTGTAATCCCATTTACTGGGTAGGCTGAGGCTGGAGAATCCCTTGAACCCGGGAGGCAGAGGTTGCAGTGAGCCGAGATTGCGCCACCACTGCACTCCAGCCTGGGCAACAGAGCAAGGCTCCGTCCCCTGCCCTCCACCTCCCCCAAAATAAGTCAATAAAACACACCTAGAAGTGAATTAATTGATTGTTATCAAAGTAAAATGATCTAGAGGAAAGACATCACAGGTGCTAGTTATTGACCTTTGACTGGACAAGTTCAGCCTCAGCTTCTTCACCTGTATAATTGAAATCGATACCAAACTTGACTACTTAGAGTTTTGTAGATCAAATGATTCAATGGATGTAAAATGTTACTGATGAAAACCACATGTGACTTTATGCTTTTCAAATTCTTTCCTGTGGAGCCTGGACAGTCACTGGAACCTATGGCAGAATAAAGCAGTGGTAACTTGCAGTCAAGTACCATTTAAGTGAGAAATATCTCTTTGTTTTTTTTGTTTGTTTTAGCGAGACAAGAGTCTTGCACTGTTGCCCAGGCTGGAGTGCAGTGGCGCAGTCTCGGCTCACTACAACCTCCGCCTCCTGGGTTCAAGTGATTCTTCTGCCTCAGCCTCAGCCTCCTGAGTAGCTGGGACTACGGGCACATGCCATCACGCTCAGCTAAGTTTTGTGCTTTTGGTAGAGATGGGGTTTCACCATATCAGCCAGGTTGGTCTTGAACTGCTGACCTCGTGATCCACCTGCCCCGGCCTCCCAGAGTGCTGGGATTACAGGTGTGAGCCACCATGCCCGGCCGATAAATACCTCTTAAACCTCTAAGGACTGCTTATCTCCTTGCTGAGTATTCATGAAAGTATTCCCTGTGTGTGCAGAAACATTACTTACCTGATTTGTATTCTTACCTTGGACTGCTGTAGCTATTATAAAGCAAAAGTTTTCTTTTCTCTCACTTTGTGTCATGATCCATGCAGGGTGTTTTTCCAGATGGGAGTACAGTGGCACAGTCTCAGGTCACTAGAGTTTCGAACTACGGGGCTCAAGTGGTCCTCCTGCCTCAGCCTCCCAAGTGGCAGGGATTACATGCATGAGCCCCTATGCCAGGCCCATGCTGTTTTTGAGTTGTATTTTTGAACTAACCTAAAGTCATGACTACTTTTTCTGCAACTGACACTATTAGCTGCACGTAGGACTGAAGATAGTACTGCTTTTCTGCTTTTTCCCTATGTGCTTTAAAGAACTACATTTTTCAGTGATTTCTGTGTATGTAAGATCTTTTCATTTACTTGGCAGAAAATACAAGAGAATTTCGATATATCTGAACTGGAATGGTCTTTATGTTAATTCTGTTCAATATTTTAGGGCAGACTAAAGGTTATCACTAAACTGTCAAAAGGGTGTATTTAGTTCATATGGCTATTGTTACAAATTACAACAGATTTAGTGACTTGAAATAACACATGCTTTCTGCCTTTTTTTTGGGTGAGAAGTATACACTCAAGAAAGGGGAATGCAGGCATATTTGAGTCACCAATTGGTTTTTTTTTTTTTTTTTTTTTTTGATATGAGGTCTCACTATGTTGCCCAGGCTGGTGGTCTCAAACTCCTGAGCTCAAGTCATCCTCCCACCTTGGCCTCCCAAAGTTCTGGCATTACTGGCATGAGCCAGGATACCCAGCCTCATTTATTATCTTTTAGTTCTGGAGGTCAGAAATGTGAAATCAGTTTCACTGGGCTAAAGTCAAGGTGTTACAGGCCCAATTCCTTCTGGAGGCTCTGAGAGGAAGACGGTTTCCCTACCTTTTCCAGCTTCTAGTGGCTGCCTGTCTTCCTTGGCTTGTGGCTCTTCTCTGCACAGCACATCACTCCATCATCATATCACTTTCTCTTAAATAAATAAATAAATCCACAAAAAGCTCAGGAGAACTCCCTGAACTTTTCCACATCTCCCTCTGCCTCTCTTATGAGAGCATTTGTGATTATATTAGGATCATCCAGATAATCAAGGATACTCTCTCCATCTCAAGATACTTTTGTGAAGTCCCTTTTGTCATAAAATGTAACAGTCACAGGATCCTATGTATCTTTGAGGGCCGATATTCAGCCTACCATAGAAAGATCTAAAGAAGAATAAAGCATCCTATCCCACAAAGTCTCATAGGGACTGTAAGAGAAAAATTCACAGTTAATACTTGGTGAGTTAGACTTTCTGGTTACTGTAAAAATAACCTAAGTCACCACGGGTTGGAGCTTCTACAACTTTTCCACTGGACTATCTTTAATAACAAAGGTAGATGAATATACCTGTGATATTTGGAAACAAAGCCTGAATTAATGCTTTAGAAGAGTAAAATTTCATTGAGTTCTAATCTTATAATTGAAAATTTTATGTGACTTTTGCATTCAGTTTTATATGATTGTTATAAGTAAAATTTTGATGCCGCAAAAGAAATAGCACTCAAATCCTGTTAGCAAGGCAGTTTACTTTTGTAGATCGGTGCCGCCGCACGCTTAGACAAGATGGGGAAGGGGTACTTATGCCTGACAGGGGTGGTCCCTACTGCTGTGTCATTCTGCTATCCTCTGGGGTTAGGTCGCACAAGCTAGACTAATCCCGATTGGTTATTTTAAAGAGAGCAGGGGTCTGAGCTTGAGCGGCAGGATGGGTATTTTGACAGAAAGATGGTTACAGTGGGTCAGAGCAGGTAGCCAGGGGTGACGTAGGTCAAAGAAGGTGACAGGAGCAGGTGTCTGGGATGACTCGGGATGGAGCAGGGGACCAGGGGAACAGATGTGAACTACTGATTAGAACCAGTGGAGAAGGTTGTTTACTGGAATTATAAGGAAGTTAAACTTTAAAATAGAGAATTGATAAGAGAGCTGAACATACTGACATACTGATTGTTTGAAGAGAAACTTGGGGTTCACTATAACATGTTTATGGTTGATGCTGTTTTGAATTATATCAAAGCATTGCTGTTCTAGAGAAGAGGCTGTTTATTCTATAGCTTCATTATTATTTTACTTTTTTTTTTTTTGAGACAGAGCCTTACTCTATCACCCAGGCTGGAGTGCAGTGGCGCAATCTCAGCTCACTATAACCTCTGCTGCCCGGGTTCAAGCAATTCTGCCTCAGCCTGTAGCTGGGATTGCAGGCACCTGCCACCGTGCCCAGCTAACTTTTGTGTTTTTTTGTTTGTTTATTTATTTATTTTTAAGATGGGGTTTCTGTATGTTGGCCAGGCTGGTCTCAAACACCTGACCTCAGGTGATCTCCCCACCTTGGCCTCCCAAAGTGCTGGGATTACACGTGTGAGCCACCGTGCTCAGCCTAACTTTTGTATTTTTAATAGAGATGGGGTTTCACTGACTTGGCCAGGCTAGTTTTGAACTTCTGACCTCGTGATCCACCCGCCTTAACCTCCCAAAGTGTGCCTGGCCTTATTTTACTTTTAAATTTATTTTTAGAGATGGGGGTCTCACTATGTTGCCTACTCTGGACTCAAACTCTTGGGCTCAAATGATGGTTTCCACCTAAGCCTCCTGAGTAGCTGGGACTGTGGGCATGCAACACAGTGCCCAGCTAATAATATAGGGTCTTGTAATTTTCTTTCTTTGAGGGAGGCAATGACTTTTTAAAAAAAATTATTTTTATTTTTCCATTACGTTATTGAGATATAGGTGGTATTTGGTTATATGAGTAAGTTCTTTAGTGGTGATTTGTGAGATTTTGGTGCACATATCACCTGAGCAGTATACACTGCAACCATATTTGTAGTCTTTTAGTCCCTTGTTCACCCCTACTCTTTCTCTCCCCTGAGTCCCCAAAGTTCTTTGTATTATTCTTTTTTTTTTTTTTTTTTTTTTTTTTT